CATGCCTAATGCCAATTCCAATTTCCTTTCCCGTCCTCCTGTCTTGAATGAGACAGTGCTCTTGATCAAAAGAGACTCGACAATCCATTTGATCAACTAATGCACTTAATGATACTAGATTAACAGGAAAAGAAGGGACATGCAAAACTGATGAAAGAGTAATTGATGGGGTACACTTGACAGTACCACTGCCTTTGATAGGTTGACATGTCCCATCAGCAGTTTGAATGGTCTCCTTATATGTAGATGGATATGGTGTGTAAGATATAAACTCATCAGGAGCACCAGTAACATGTTTGGAAGCACCAGAGTCCAATATCCATCCATGTTGAGCTCTCTTCATGCATGAGAGAGCTTCAGCATGAATATCTTCCAACTTGGTACTCGTAGGCATCAACGCCACCTTCTGTATCATCTCCATTTTCTCCATAGTTTCCTTACTTGAGGATGATATCTCAGTGATTTTCACAATGAGTAACTTTACCATTTTTTCTAGTTTAGATAATCTCCCAAGAACTTCCATGATTTCTTGATTTCCCCCCATGATATAATGTTGCCAAGGCCTTCTTCTTCTAGCTTCCACAACTGAAGAACAGAGCAGTATAGCAGCAGCTCCAATGCCTTCTGCACCTGCAGTTTTTCTACTCACGAGACCAAAGAACAGAGCACTGCAATCACCCTCCAATAGCAGCGGCTCCTCTGCCTTCTGCAGTCCAGCTCCTCACAAATCCACTCCTAGGATGTACACAGCACACACCCCAGGCAACAATTTCTTCTGCAACACAACAGCACAGGAAGAGCACAAGCACACACACCTCAATCTCCTCAGAACTTGCCTCTCCTTCCAGATCCTGTCCAGCTGCTTCACGTGATGCTACTTCTTCTAGCTCTTGCTTGCTTTCTCCTCCTGCTGATGCAGCTCCCAATCCACACACAGCAGCTCCCTTTCGTACTCCTCTTCCCGTTCCACACCTCAGGCCAGCAACTGTCGCCGGACACCCAGATCGCAGCAACACTGCCACAGCCACGCAGACCTCCTCCTCTCAGCACCTCCTCTCGGCGCGGCCTCCTCACGCGCTGTGACCGTCGCCGCAGTCCGCGCCTCCTCTCGCGCCTGATGTGCGCCGCCACCTGCTCCACCTGAGCACCTCGATGCTCTGCCCCTTCGACACCTCTCCGCCGGCCACCGTCACGCGGACAGGGTAGAGCAGGTGGTTGCCTCCATCGCCACCACCATCGGCTCCGATACCATGTTGATCAACAACAACAACAACAACAAAGCCTTTAAGTCCCAAACAAGTTGGGGTAGGCTAGAGTTGAAACCCATCAGAAGCAATCAAGGTTCAGGCACGTGAATAGCTGTCTTCCAAGCACTCATATCTAAGGCTAAGTCTTTGGGTATATTCCATCATTTCAAGTCTTCTTTTATTGCCTCTACCCAAGTCAACTTCGGTCTTCCTCTGCCTCTCTTCACGTTACTATCCTGGCTTAGGATTCCACTACGCACCGGTGCCTCTGGGGGTCTCCGTTGCACATGTCCAAACCATCTCAACCGGTGTTGGACAAGCTTTTCTTCAATTGGCGCTACCCCTAATCTATCACGTATATCATCGTTCCGAACTCGATCCCTTCTTGTATGACCGCAAATCCAACGCAACATACGCATTTCCGCGACACTTAGCTGTTGAACATGTCGTCTTTTCGTAGGCCAACATTCTGCACCATACAACATAGCAGGTCTAATCGCCGTCCTATAAAACTTGCCTTTGAGCTTCTGTGGTACCCTTTTGTCACATAGGACACCAGACGCTTGCTGCCACTTCATCCACCCTGCTTTGATTCTATGGCTAACATCTTCATCAATGTCCCCGTCCTTCTGTAGCATTGATCCTAAATATCGAAAGGTATCCTTCATAGGCACTACTTGACCTTCCAAACTAACATCTTCCTCCTCCCGAGTAGTAGTGACGAAGTCACATCTCATATACTCAGTTTTAGTTCTGCATGAGTCTAAAACCTTTGGACTCAAAGTCTCCCGCCATAACTCCAGCTTCGATTCACTCCCCGTCCCGGCTTTCATCAACTAGCACTACATCGTCCATGAAAAGCATACACCAAGAGATGTCCCCTTGTATGTCCCTTGTGACCTCATCCATCACTAAAGCAAACAAATAAGGGCTCAAAGCTGACCCTTGATGTAGTCCTATCCTAATCGGGAAGTCATCCGCGTCTCCATCACTTGTTCGAACTCTAGTCAACATTGTTGTACATGTCCTTAATGATCCCGACGTACTTCGTTGGGACTTTATGTTTGTCCAAAGCCCACCATATAACATTCCTTGGTATTTTATCATAAGCCTTCTCCAAGTCAATAAAAACCATGTGTAGGTCCTTCTTCTTCTCCCTATACCGCTCCATAACTTGTCTTATTAAGAAAATGGCTTCCATAGTTGACCTTCCGGGCATGAAACTAAATTGGTTCACAAAGATCCGCGTTATTGCTCTCAAGCGATGCTCGATAACTCTCTCCCATAGCTTCATAGTATGACTCATCAACTTAATTCTCCGATAATTAGTACAACTTTGAATATCCCCTTTATTCTTGTAGATCGGTACCAATATACTTCTCCTCCACTCATCAGGCATCTTGTTCGATCGAAAAATATGGTTGAACAGCTTGGTTAGCCATAGTATAGTTATGTCCCCGAGGCATCTCCACACCTCGATTGAGATACCATCTGGTCCCATCGCCTTACCTCCTTTCATCCTTTTCAACGCCTCTCTGACCTCAGATTCTTGGATTCTCCGCACAAAGCGCCTATTGGTGTCATCAAAAGAGTCATCCAACTAAAAGGTTGTGTCCATATTCTCACCATTGAACAATTTATCAAAATACTCTTGCCATCGATGTCGGATCTCATCCTCCTTCACCAAGAGATGCTCCCTTTCATCCTTAATGCACTTAACTTGGTTGAAGTCCCGTGTCTCTCTCACGAACCCTAGCCATCCTATAAATGTCCTTCTCTCCTTCCTTCGTACTCAAATGTTGGTAAAGATCCTCGTACGCTCTACCCTTTGCCACACTTACAGCTCGCTTTGCAGTCTTTTTTGCCACCTTGTACTTCTCTATGTTGTCCACACTCCTATCATGGTACAAGCGTCTATAGCATTCTTTCTTCTCCTTAATAGCCCTTTGGACTTCCTCGCTCCACCACCAAGTATCTTTAGCCTCGCCTCCACTTCCTTTGGTTACTCCACACACCTCTGAGGCCACCTTCCGAATGTTGGTTGCCATCTTCTTCCACATGTTGTTTATGTCGCCTTCTTCCTTCCAAGAGCCCTCTTTGATAACCCTTTCCCTCGAATACCTCCGGCGCCTCCCTTTCGGGCTTCCACCACTTTGTTCTTTGAATCTTAGCTTGTTTATCCCCTACGGCACGCACCGAAAAACAAAAATCGCCACCAAAAGCTTATGTTGAGAAACAACACACTCCCTAGTATCACCTTGCAATCCAAGCATGCCCGCTTGTCCTTTCTTCTTGCGAGGACAAAGTCAATCTAGCTACAAAGGTTGTTGTCCGCTCTCATCAAGGTCACTAGATGAGATTCTCTCTTTCTAAAGAAAGTGTTGGCTATCATCAGTCAAAAGCTACCGCCAAGTCCGTAACTTCCTCCCCTCCCCGATTCCTACTACCATACCCAAGACCTCCATGAATCGCCTTCTCGAAACTCAAGGCTTGTAGTACCTACATGCCCATTAAGATCTCCTCCTATAAAAAGCTTCTCACTACTAGGTATAGCTCTAACTGTGCCATCTAAGTCTTCCCAGGCTGCCTCTTAGCACTCTCGTCGAGGCCTACTTGGGGGCATATGCACTAATTACGTTCAAGACCATATCACCAACGACAAGCTTGACTAAGATAATCCTATCCCTTGCCTTCTCACTCCCACCACACCATTCTTGAGGCTCTTATCAATCAAAAACCTACTCCATTTCTATTCATGACCCATCCCTATGTACCAAAGCTTGAAACCTCAGATTGTCCACCTCCTTTCGCCTTGACCCTTCCATTTAGTCTCTTGAACGCATAATATATTTACACGCCTCCTAGTCAGCAGTATCAACTAATTCTCTTAACTTACCTGTAAGTGACCCTACATTCCAACTACCTAAACGGATCCTAGTTGGTTCGACTAGCTTCCTTACCCTTCGCACCCGTCGACTCAGATGCGAAGACCCTTGCTCATTTTTCACTACACCCGGGCGCCGATGTAGCGCGCCACTAAGGAAGCGACGACCCGATCCTTGCTCACTTGACACCATGCCCAGATCACGACACGGCGCGTCACGGGGGTGACGACCCGGCCCTTGCCCATTTAACACCATACCCGGGTTCCGATATGGCGCGTCGCTAAGAGGGTTATGCCCCAACGATTTTCTTTCGGGTTTCATCTCCATTAAAGTGGCTAAGTTTTTACATTGGCTCGCCACGCCTAACACAACCCTCCTCCTTTACCAGGGCTTGGGACATGCTATGCTGAGACACCAAAGGCGCCCCACCATAGGCGGAGTTCCGATACCATGTTGATATTTGGGGAAATTTCTGGAACTCTCTTGTCTTTGCTTAGTGTTACATATATACATGGTACATAGGCTCATGGGCCTTTACACACTTATGCACAGATAAAGCCCAACAAGATGCATATTTGGGATTTGGCCAGGACTAGGGGTATCTCCTACCTCATCGCCCTTGTGCCGGTGTAGTGTGATTTGTTTGGTCTCCTACGTGTTTGATAAAAAAAGAAGACACTAAGATGTATTTAAAGTCATCACATAATTTATTTTTTTGAATCAGGTTTCATATTCATAGTTATCTGAGAAACATCTACATCTTTGTAGTTATGGTTTATCTGATGTGGACATCTCTAGCATTCACACCAATCATTAGACAGAAAACATTTCACTTAAAATATAAATAAATCGAATATTTCATGATTACCTGCACATCCGTTCATGGTAAGATATGCTGCAAATGCATCCTTGTTCATCTGCACGGTTTTCATCTGCACGGTTTTCATGGTAAGACAGCTTAGGGGGCGGCGGCAATGAAGTTAAATCACGCCAAACCAGCCAACATTTTTCTTCAAAGCGTTAAAGAGTCCCAGAGAAAACAGGAAACCAAATCTACTGATAAATATATGCAGCACCAAGCACCTGGGCCTACTGATTATGAATTAGGGCACGTTTGGTTGCTGACGGTAGTTGCCGTGCCAAAGCTTGGGCCGGCCAAATTTTGGCGCACAAACCGGTTGCCCAGGATCGGCCGCAAAAATGAACTAAGCCGCCTATGTCTGAACTGGGGCCAACCAAAGTTTGGCTATCATCCAAACGGTAGGTTTGCATACAGTCAACGACCAATGTTTGGCCTGGCAGCTTGAGGCCGGCATCCAAACATGCCCTTAATTGCTTGGTGGCGCCAAGTTTTGCGGCAACTAGATAAACAACACCAAAAGGGTTTAAATTCTTTAGTGGTGTTGGTCATTTGGTGGATTTGGAAGCATAGGAAATTAGGAATATATGTGTCTTTGGAGAGTCATTTGGTGGATTTGGATGCATAGGAAAGATTAGATATGAGGAAAAAATGTGTATGGCAGGGGTCAAAGGCCTCAGGCACATTTGGGCATAGCCTGGTTGCGTAGGTGGTCTGTTGGTCGTCTAGTACTCTTGTAAACCCGAGGGCTTGTATGAGTCTCTTTGATTCTTTTTATCTTCTTGATGTAATGATATGCAGCTCTCCTGCATGTCTGAGAAAAAAAGATAACCATAGCTGGAAAGTGAAAACAAATCTGTGTGCAAGTAAGAAGGCTACTTCATATTAAACCTATGCAGCAGGAAGTAGTATTTCCACCCCCTAAGCTGTCTTTGAGAAAATGCATAGTGACCTTTCTTTATTTGGTCAGTAACATGCAAAAAAGTATTCAAATTGGACACATGGAATAAGAAAACTCAATAGGTAACAACCTTTGCATACTTTATTTGAGCAATGTCCACATATGATGTTTACCTGAAATATGTTCAACAATATTAATCCATCACTTTAAAATAGTCTTGGTATAAAATAAGAATAACGACATTAGTAACAGTAACAAAGAAAACCAGAAATTAGACACAAACCTGCGCTGTGCGACCCAGCTTTTCGAATGTAGTTTCACAGTGCACTAAATCTCCATTATGCATTTTCTGAAATTGCATGTGAGAAATTAGAGAATGTATGGTTGAGCTACGAAGGTAGAGAACTCCTAACAAGAATGGACAGCACTCTAGTTTCAACGCAACCTAAACAACATGCTACTATATGATAAAAAATCATAAGTCAACAGTTTTCAACAGAAAAGGCATGCACTCTTTTTATCATATACAATCAATTTGAAGTACAAAAGTGTTACCTGAATGTAGTCAATAGGATCTGAACCAGTTAGAAAAGAGCGAGAACTAACAAAGCGTCCAAATTCAAGGTAACCACCCTGAACAGAATGAACAAATGCATTGTATTATCCAGATGGTGACATGTCACAAATTTCAACATCTATCGAGGACCATGTAGGTTAAAATGATCAAACATAAAATTGGCCAAAGCCCAACGTATGTGCTGCCAAAAAGGAAAATCAGAATTTTTAAATACATTTAGTATATAGAACAATTAGGCTAAAAAGAAAGGTTAGACAATCAGATGATTTATTGAGTTATTGCTAAATATGTTGGAACAAATGATGATTGATGTTGGAACTAAAAGGCTGCTACACTGTGCTTACTAGTCTTCAGTAACATAAGGCCTGGTTTTCCCTTTACTATACATTCCAGGAATATTTGGTTTCTTATCTTGCCATATGTCCGTATTAACTGATGAAATGGTAATATTTGGTAACTTGTTCAGCATAAAAGGGTGGTGCATTATGAACAATCACTACAATCCAATTCCAATGGTTGTGTTGGCAGTCGGCACCACTACAACCCTAAGTATGTAGTCTTCAGACGGCAACAGATTTTTATACAGCCTAAACCCTTGGAATAAACACTGGCACCTTAGGATATGACTGCAATTGTAAAAATATACAAATATACAAACATGGTACTAGTACCACACCTTTTAAGAACATAATGACTTAATGAGTTAAAACTTCATGACCTTAAAATAAAATGGAGATAACATCATAAATTGCCAATTAGGACTAGAAAAAATGGCATGTCAATATATCATACTTCCTTACCTCTTGAGATCTTTTCTGCACATCTTTGCAGAATTCGACAACCAAATCAGAGGGCAGTGAGCCCTGATAATTACAATGAAAAAGAGTCGTTAGGCTATATTCAAATGCACTATGAGAAAACAATATACTGTCTAGAAGATAATAATTTAACATTTAAAATGGATTTCAGATATTCACCTGTTCCTTATATTCGAAAACCTTACCAACCAGATGCGTCTGAAAGCTGCTTAGGAGAGCAACATGAAAGAATTTTGTCTAGTTTAAAAGTACATGGCATAGTGAAGACCATGATTGTATGGATACAAAATCAACAAGGCGGCTTTCATTATCAAATGTATAACAATTAGAACTTGGAACAACGATGATAGCAGTAGCTGGTACATGCATGTAGGTGACTGCCAACAAAACTGCAGAAAATAACAAAAATTATTAATGAACTACATGGCTCAGTAGTTCTCATAGCACAGGGAATAGCATGCTGATTCAAACACAGAAATTATATGAAAAGGGTATCAATTTAATTACAGAACCCAGGGTCATAATCTAGAAATTAAAAGGGAGAATCATGGCAGACAGAAGTTAACAAAAAAACATTCTCTAAATTATAAAACACAAGAAGTGATATACTTACACACGAAGCATAGATGATACTGAAAACAGTAGGAGCCATGCCAATTACATAAGTGTGTCCATTGCTGAACTGCCAGGACATGCTTTTTGATTGTATAAAAGCTGCTCAGAATACCAAATGCATCCATATTTGAAAAATACCTTGATTGCTATGGCTTTTTAAACCAAATAATTAAGGAAACAAGTTTTGAATCCTAGGCCTTGTTTAGATGCCAAAAATTTTGGCAAAATGGCACTGTAGCAGTTTTCGTTGTTATTTGGCAATTAGTGTCCAATCATAGTCTAATTAGGCTTAAAAGATTCGTCTCGTGGATTTCGTCTAAACTGTGTAATTAGTTTTATTTTTTATTTATATTTAATGCTTCATGCATGCGTCCAAAGATTCAATGTGACGGAAAATCTTGAAAAATTTTGCAAAATTTTTTGCAACTAAACTGGACCCTAATCAAAATTATGGCAATCTAGCTCATTATGTACACCCAGGTATGTCTTCTTAACAACTACTAAAATCTTATGCAATTATTACAGATGGTGATCCTATTGTCAAACAGCAGATGGAAATAGAAGCTCATGCGGTGCATTTAGAAGCACAAGGAATGGGAAAAGTACCTATGACGAACAGATGAATGGTATCCGTAGCGCAGGAAGCCATGTTACTCCACTACAGCAGCGCCACTATATTCAGGTTTGAAAGTGGTTCCCTGTTAGATATGTGCACTGAAAGCATTGTATGACAACATGAATAACTAAACTTTTCACATTTCAGGGAATCACCGTGTGACAAATAGATTACAGGACTCTAAAAGCACACTTACTGTAACAATAGGAAATCATTTGATGGGTGTTGTGTAATGTGTACTTGTGTTAGAATATATAGATCATTGAAGCCAAAAACGACCGTGTAGGGCGGTCATGGGTGGGCATTCGGTCTCGGTCAGTTCTGTTTCGGTCTCAGTCTTGAGTCTTAGGACAGAACTGACCAGTCAAAAGAACACAGCAAAACAATAGGAGAAATCGAGCGTGCACAGGTGGGGCTTCGCACGGGGGCGGCGCTGCTCGTTAGCACCTGGGGGCTGGGGTGTTGAGTCCATGCACGGATGTGTCAATATGGGCGCTGCCGTCCATGCCGCCGGCGACGTTGCTCGACGGCAAGCGCGCTGCCTAGAGGCTCGTTCGTCTGGAGCTGCAAAATCGAAAGAGAAGGGGATTGAGAGGGAAGGGGAGCAGCTGCAGGATTGGAAGGGAAGGGGAGGGCGACGGGAATAGCGCAAGACCGGCGGACGCGAACCGCAGGGCGTCGGCGTCGCTGTCGGCCCCGTTGACCGTCGTGTTGGACATCGCGGCGATGGGGTTGGCGTCGGGGGGCGAGGGAGACTACAGGCTAGCACTCACCATGAGAGCTAAGCTAGCTTCTAGCTTCGGCAAAACGGAATTGAAGGATTTCGCATTATAAATGTCTACTGTTTGCGAGGTATTGGCCCAGACGAACGGCCGGAGTGGAGGAGCCGAGAAGCACACGGATTCGACGGTAGAAGAAGGGCGCGGATGACTCACCGCGGCGGCAACGAACGGTACAGTCACCGAGCGGGATGCCGGCCTTCGGCGAGAGAGCGACGGCTTCAGATTTCAGAATGGAGGCGGCGAGCACGGCCGGGGATGGAGCTTCTTCCCATAACAGTGGGCCCAGGCACGGGGCATTGCGGCCTTAAGGCCGTGTTTGTTTGGCTGATTCGTCAGCTCATAACTACTGTAATATTGTTGGTTTCGGTGGATTGGCTTAAAACGTGGCCGAACTGTTGGCTAGTATAGGTATAAGAGATAAATATTATTTATTGGTTGATAAATCATAACTTATAAGTCAGATACGAGCTGTCGAACAGACTTATATCTACTCAGTTTAAAAAAAAGGACAGCTGGCTGGCCTAACTCTCGTCAGTCGTCACCGTGGCCATTCTCAGATTTTTTTTTATTTTTAACACTTTTTTAAACTAATTTTAAATCTAATATTGTTTTATTTATTTATTTTTAAAACTAACATTTTTATCCGTGCCTATTTCTCTGACGCGGCGAAATGTCTGTGCCGCGCCATACATGGTGGCGCAGTGAGGGGGTGACGGCGTACCGACCGGCGTACCGACCGGTGATGTGGCGGTGTTCTCGTCGCGCCATAGCTCACGCTGCGTGGCAATCGACGCCGCCAAGACCTGGCCACAGCGCGGGACAGACTCGAACGTAGATGTAAGTCGGTCACCTCAATTACAATTGAACGGAGCTCATATTTCGGTCAGAACAATTATAAGTGCTGCCGCGACGCATTAAAACAAATATGAAGTAAATAAATGGAGTCCATGCGTAAGTTGATAAATTACCACATAACATTTTTATTGGTTCGACATAACCAACTAAGTCTCAAGTTTCGGATGACAATATTCGTTCGACATAACCAACTAAGTTCTAGGAGTGTAAGGATCCCCCGGACGCCTCTGTCTCTTCAGATTTGTAGACAACACATTGGGAGTATAGCCAATGTCGGTGTGGTCGCGTTGTCGGTGCGTACGGCTCGTATCCTGTAAGTATATGATATACACGATTACTTATAATCTTTATGATCGTTACTTCATAGAGCCTACGTATTTAAAGAAACTACCTTTGTTACTGCCTGTGAGGCTCCTTGGGTATCAAGCGGGGCACCACCTAGCTGAGACATGCCGATCTCGTCCTGCTGCCAAGGGTCCCACTGGTGGTGCTGTATGCGAAAGCCGGGGGTCGTCGTCATCATCGTTGTCGTCGTCCTTATTTGTAAGGTCCTTCCTAACGCTATAATGTGATCGTGTACGCACAGCGAAAGCGGCACCTATCACCGACTGAGAAGAGCCGGCTGGTGTCCTCAAAGATCTAGAAGACGTGGCACCCGACCACGCCGGGTAATCGAGTTCCACCCAAGGAGTGTTCATGCAACTCAACTTCTAAGCAAGCTTCATGTAGCTCCGCTTCACCTTCTGCATGAATAGATGTTAAAGTTAATACACTTCCCAAACGCATATGCACTAAAGAAATATTTTCAGAACGGACAAGTTTATGTTTACCTCCATAAAAGCCTCGAGAACGCCTGGCCCCTACCCTCTAGACTCGGGAAGCCGAAACGCTACTTCGTTGGACAGATGTAGGGTCAAGATGGCGACTAGAGGAGGGTGAATAGTCGTTTCTAAAACTTAATTGCGTCGGCTAACCAAAATAAGTGCAGAATTAAAACTATTGGTCTAGCTAAGACTACACCCCTCTATCTATGTTCTCTAGCACCTTGCAAAGATCCTAATTAAGCAACAAATGTGCCAGGCTAACTAGAGCTCACCTAACCAATTCTAGAGCAAGGTCACACAAATATATGCCATTAGTATTTCAAGCAATGAGGGAGCTCCTACACATGCTAGTAAGTAAAAGCACAAAGCCAACTAATCTCACTAGCAATGCTCAATAACAAGGCAACCAATGTTAAATTAGAGAGCGCAAATACTTAGCTACACAAACTAAGCAAAGTGACTAAGAAGGTTACACAAACCAAATAAGCCACGTAAGAGAGCTACTTCTATGCTACACAAGCAAGAATGTAACTAGTGAGCTACACAAGCTAACTAATTACAAGAGCAATTACACAAGCACAATGTATATAAAAGTAATCACAAGCTTGTGTAAGGGGATTGTAAACCAACGGGAAGAACAAGGTTGACACGGTGATTTTTTCTCGAGGTTCATGTGCTTACCAACACGCTACGTCCCCGTTGTGTCAATCGCTCACTTGGTGGTTCGGCGGCTAATTGACATCACCTACCAAGCACACACGTCGGGCACCGTAAGAAGCTACCCCGAAAGTGAGGATAGCTCAATGACACGCTCAACTAGAGTTGTTCTTCGCAGCTTCTGCGGGGCGAGCACAATGCCCCTCACAAAGCTCTTCTCCGGAGCACCGCACAAGCTTCTTGCGGGCTTTTGACGGAGACCACCACCAAGCCATCTAGTAGGTGGCAACCTCCAAGAGTAACAAGCACCACTAGCTTGCAACTCGATCACCTAGTGCCACTCGATATAATCTCATAATGCAACGCACTAGAATCATACTCACTCACAATCAATTCGCACTCTTGCAAGCACAAGTGAGTTAGAGGGCATCCAAGCACTACTACACAAGCCACATAGACGTGAGGGTGCTCAGCTATCAGCCCAAGGCCGGCCACACACTCCTTTTATAGCCCCAAGGGCTAAAATAACCATTATCCCTCACTGGGCAAAACGCACACTGACCGGACGCGCAGGTCATAACGACCGGACACGTAGGTCACAGAGTCCGGTCTCTAGGATGACGCCACGCGTCCCCTCCTTTCGAAGCCGACTGTTGGGCTTCAACGGCTAGCCCCCACGTGCGCATCCTCTTGACCGGGCGTGCCTAAGTCCAACGACTGGACACGCTAAGGTCGAGTTCGGTTACCAACACATTTCTACACAACTGACCGGACTCACTTTTCTCCTACGACCGGACTTGACTCTCCCAATGTCCAGTCACTTATAGAGAGGTTCCAGAGACGTTTTTCAGCGACCAGACGCATCCTGTCATCAATGACCGGACACTCTGTGCGTCCGGTCGCTTCTAGACTCGCTAAAAACACTGACCGGACGCTGTGACCGGACTCGTAGGTGCTGACCGAACGCGCAGGTCCCAGAGTCCGGTCATAGACCTTTTAGCGCTAAAACGGCTATAACTCTTAGCTCCGAATTCCAATTTCGATGATCTTGGATATTTTGGTAAGCTTACTCAGAGGGCTACATATCTCACATGCATACTTGATCCAAATTACAATAGATCAAAGCAGTATTCCAATCCAAGGACCATCCTATAGTTGGGAGTACACCGAAAAACCTTTCTCTCTTCTCTAAGTTGATTCACAACAACTCTAACTTCTCCTTTGCAAATGTGCCAACATCACCAAGTGTGCACCACCATGTGTATGTGTGTTAGCTTTTCACAAACATTTTCTAAAGGATTAGTCACTCAACTTACCATGCCACTCGATCCTAGCGATGATGCAAAGTTAGATCACTCGAGTGGCACTAGATGACCGATATGCAAACAAGTTTACCCCTCTTAATAGTATGGCCATCTATCATAAACCCGATCATAAACTTCTCTACACACCTATGACCGGTGAAATGAAATACCCTAGGTTATACCTTTGCCTTGCGCATTCCATTTCATCTCCTCCAATGTCGATGCAACACATGCACCAACATAATCAACAATGATATGATCCACTTCATATCATCACGTGATCATATTGGTTCATCAATCTTGACTTCACTTGTTTTTCACCGTTGCCTTCGTCCATCGGTGCCAAGTCTTGCTCAAGCTTCACCGCCACACGGTCATCGCTCCAAAGCCTCTGACTTGTCATTCATGCTTGCAACCGGTCCATCAAGCCAAGTCTTGTCTTGATATTCTCCACCTTGATCATATGACTCAATGTCATGTCTCATGTGCAATAATCTTGTTTATCATCACATGTGTGAGCTTTGCAACATCTTTAAACCATTTTCACCTATATAGCATATGTTGCTCATACACATATACTTGTGGACTAATCACCTGTGTATCTCACATAAACACAATTAGTCCACCTAGGGTGGTCACTTAATTATCAAAACCACACAATGATCTTTCAATCTCCCATTTTGGTAATTGATGACAACTCTACAAAGATATGGAAATTAAGCTCTTTTGGATTCATGTTGCTTGCCCAAGCAATTTTACCATGTGTAAATGATTTTGGATAAGTACCACAAACCCAAAATGGTAGTATTATCTCTCCCTACATATGTGCTAGAGTGTTTGTTTTGAAGCTCGCGCATATGCATAGATTGAAATTATGGGAGAGTAATTACTACTAAATGATGCTAAGATGTATAGAGTAAACATTTGAAGCGTGATACCAATCGGAGTTGCACCTTTAAGTTCATCCTTAGCACTATGGTTAGCTAGATATCACTTGGAAATAAAATCACTAGATACCTTATGAGATCAACATTAAAACCAAGGTACTAGCATTACTTGAAAAGCATACCAAGTGTCTAGCTATCATCCTATGCATGCTAATTTTTATTTCATCAATCAAATTCTACAACTAGCATACCTCACACAAGCATGCGTATTGAATTTAAGAACTTATGCAATACAAGCAAGCACATGAATATGCACATATCAAATGCAATCAATCAAAGTTCATGAGCTTGCTCCCCTTATTTGTGTTCTTCTCTTATCCAAGAATTTTGATCCATCTCTTTTCTTCAAC